CTTGAGGATTCCCGTGGCTCTGCTGTAGCTCATGGTGCTGCGCACGCCTGGCCCAGAGCCTGCGGAGGTTACTTTCCCCAGTACATGTTGGCCGGGTGAATGTCCTCCTTGATGGAGAAATCTCTCTGTTATGCAGACCGGACATGGCATTGAGCCGGTGAATTTGCGAGCGACCAGAATCACGTCCCCTACTTCAGTTAGTTGTTTTTGCGACTTGGCAGGTGCAAGGACATAGGGGTCGGGGTAGAATCCAGCGAGGACACCACGAGACGATGCAAGTCCCAGGGCAGTAAGGCAAAGAACCTTAGACAAATCATGGTCATACATTGCAGATCCCCCTGTTACGCATCTGGTTGGGCCAGGGTGGACATCAGCTGACGGAACAAGGACTGTGAGATCAGAGTGCAGCGGGAGACGGGACAAGCACAGATACCGCGAGCGGCGACTTGCAGTTACGTGATGACTGGTTCCGCGATCGGATCTGGGTGACCAGCCTTACGGTGCAACCAACATAGAGCCACGCAGCCTTGTCAGACAGGGGCAAACATAGCGGCTTGTTGGATGAAACTCGCTAGGTATAACTACACGTGTACTGTGCGAGCTGGGAAAGGGGTGAATCCGGCCCCAGAAGCTCACGTACGCCAGCGACCGAATGCTTGCAGATATGCCCTGCCTCTAGATGGTGCCACGTCACTCAGCAGGACGAATGGTAGAACGTCGACCAGGTGCTGAACGACTGGATTATGTATGGATGCTAGTTCCGTCCAGAAGGGGGAGGACGCTGAACAAGGCACATGCAAAACGCACGCACACACACACACACCCAGGCACAGGAAAATGACACACGGGGGATCAGGTATATACAGACTTTGTGTTGCTCCTGTTAGTTTTGTCGGTGTTCTGTCCATGTATCGGAGGTTCCAGACTCACCCACAGGGTGCAATTTCCAGGGGTCTGACCTTCCTCTGTGTAATATCAAGATTAGATAAACAAGAGTGTGCAACTCCTGGATGCGTTCGCCGACGGCGGAATTTTTTGTTGACGTAATTTTTTCTACGACGCATGCGCTGCGAGTCTTTTGGAAAGTTTTGCCTCGTGCACTTGGCCGGGCTTTATATTACAAGGTCGGTGTCCAGCATGTGCTCTCACACTGCTCTGCGGCAAAATGCGCGCTTTTCTGGAAAAAGGTGACGTCAATAAAAAGATTCCGCCGTGGGACAGGGTATCTGCAGAGTGTGCAGGAGAGATCCGAAGTTGCACAGTCTTGTTTATCTACTCTTGGTAAGATGCTTGTTGTGTACAATATGCACCGTGTGAATTGAGTAGGGGACTGGGGGTGACAACCGCTGCACCGTCCGACCCAGGCGTCATGTTAACACGGCCTCACGCCTCATACCGTCATGCATACAGGCAAGCTGAGTTAACCATTGTCAACATCACTGCCCTTTGGGCTTCTCCCTCATCATCACTGCCCATCGGGTATCTCCCTCCATCATCATCACTGCTCATCGGTCATCTCACTTCACATGGGTAAGGGTAAGTTCATTGAATTGGCAATTCACACGGAAAAAACACTCTATACTAAAAAACGACAGGAACAGAACAGCATAGGCAGCAAGCACAAGAAAAACACACCAAGAGACAACACAAGGCAGCCTGTCAGAGGGCGGACTACACATGGGAGGGTGGGGGCAAGGTGATTAAAAAGCAACTCAACTCAACTCTAAAATGAAAGTTGGCCGAATGCTTATTGAGGAAGCGGAGGTCTATAATCAACCTCAAGTTTTCATTGCTTTTAGGGACCACGCCCAACGGGATAATTACATTGTTAGCATTTTCTCCCACAGCCCCCGAACGCAACAACAGAAGGATTAGGTCAGACTCAACACTGGAGTGATTATTAGAAGATTTAGGTCACGCCCGGAACTGGGGCGGGGCGGGGCGGGGAGACAACACACAAAAAAAATAGACATAAGGAACAATACATAAAACAAAATCTGAGGCACCAATATTTCCCCAAAATGCAAGGGGGTGTAATAACCGCACATGAACGTTACTGTCACAAGCACTTATCTCGTCAGACTCCAGCCAGTCTGGGAACTCATGCTCCGTCCATCCGTGGACGAGCTCCAGCAGTGGTTTGTGGTTGCTGAGTTCAGTGTGGTTGGCGACTACTGCCTCGGCCGAACTGGGAGCAATGCCTACTGACGGGACCCAACCTGCTGGCAGGTCCAGCAATGCGGGCTGCTGCCAGGGGTTCGGCCATCGTTGTCAAACAGTCCGTGGCCTGATGGCCTTCGCTCGAATTGGGCGTTGTTGCCAATGTTGGATGCACGAACATTCCTGCCTAGGTGTGGCATCTCAGGTTGGAACCGCTCCCTGGGTTGTAATTGCCTGAGCCGACGACCTGTGGAGGCTGCATTAGCGAGTCTTTCGTCGTCTGCAAGGCTGTCACCTACGCTGCCCTCCGCGTAGACTCTCACTGTTTCCCAGTCAAAGGAAACGGCTATTTCGAGTTGTTTCTGCCTTTTTCAGGAGGAGCTAGATGAACCACGGCTCCATGGTTGCGAGTGGACATTGGCATGTTGAAGTATTATTATTTGATTTTTTAGTGCATGCAAATGTGCATGACTACAAGGTAGACTATGTACACACACGACCCAAAGTATGTATAGCAGTCCAGACATCGACTTCAGAGTCAGAAGCAGCCTGCAGCACTTGGTGACGACGTTGTCTTCTACATTGTATCTCCGATTCGCAATCGGTCCTGAAACAGCATCAGCTCCGCCACTGCGTCGCTCATTGACAGACGTTTTCAAGGACTTCGGTGAGAGCTGCTCGTCAGACTCGTTTGCCAGCGAGGCCAAGATCTGGTCCTGGAGGGGACGTGGCCCCGGACCTGGATCTGATGGGACAATGGCTACGCTGGATCGACTACAGTCAGATTTGATCGACTGGCTTGATGGAGAAAAGCTATTCGATATGCACAATTGTACATGCATACACCCCAGCCCGCAACTAAAATAAAAAAATAAAATAAAATAAACCCGACCGTCCAACCCTGGTACGGATGAGTGAAGTGACCCGAAACAATGAATTAATTTTAGGTGCTTGCCTGACGCAAATAGAATACAATTAAAACAAGCAAACAAGCAGCTCAACCGAGTTGAATTTGAATTTGCTAATCATTGCCAGGGACCCTCCGTGAGCAGTAACATATCTCTCTAGGATACGGCTGCAAAGGTAGCTCCACGCCCCGCGGTTCTGGGCGATGCTCCTCAGCTCCTCAAGATCCGCCGAGGTCTTGAGGGTCCTCCCAACCAGCTCGAGATCGTGTCTGAGCACGACCGGCAGAGTTGTGCCCCGCCTGCCCCTCAAGGTAGGCTCAGTGGATGGCTTGAAGTAGGAGCACATTGATAGGTTCGTCGGTGGACTCTGGTCCAGCCGCAGCACGTGCCCAAACAGACGCCAGCGGGCTCTCAGGACCGAGGTACCAAGTGGTGTTGAGTTTGTCCTCTTGCATAGGGTGCTATTCTTGATTTTAGCTGGGTACCGTATGCCAATAACCTTCGGCATTTGTTGTCTATGGAACGCATCAACTCTATGCATAGCGGTGCCAGTGAGGCCCCAAGTCCCATTGTTGTAGCACAGGACTGGTAAGATGAATGTTTTTGTATAGCCGTACTCTCAGCGATTCGTTTAAAATGGAACCACATATCCATAATGCCCAGAGTCGGTGCAGGGCAGCCTCACTCGTTGGCACCGTGCCGCGATCCATCTGTAGAACCAAACTACATTATTTAGCCACCCGCACTAGTACCAAGTGTTACCTGCACTGGGGACAGAGGTAACTGCAGTTGGATCCCGGGACGGATACCTTGATGCCATCAATCCTTTTCGTCACCTTGTCCTCCCCCACTTACTGAGGTGTGGTGAGCCCATAAGTTGGATACTTTCAAGTCCACGCTAGTTTGCGGATTTCAGGGGTGTAGGCCGTTGGGCGGTTCAATAGCTAATTGAGTCATCTTTCCAAGATTCCTTTGGAGTTTCTCTCCCCTCCCCGGTGAGACTCACGTGACCAGTTTTGGCAGTGAGCAATTAAAAGTGTGCGTGTGTGTGTGTGTGTGTGTGTGTGTGTGTGTGTGTGTGTGTGCGCGCGCGCGTGCACATGTGTATGCGGGAGTGTGCGTACATACTTGGATGGGTATGTGCGTATTTGAGTGTGCTAGCCTGTGTGTGTTTCATTGTGTGTGTGTGTGTGTGTGTGTGTCTGTGTGTAAAAGTGGAGAAAGAAAATGAAAAATAGGGATTCACTGGCCAGAAAAGCCACTTCAATCAGCTGTGCGGTGGACACCAGGCTAAAATTAGTAGCGGTTAAATCATCCTTGCAAGCTGTTGAATGTTGTAATCCTAGCTCAATTTGCTATGTCTAACATATCTGGTAGCTATCATCGCTTCCGTGATGATGGGCATGTCTGAGTTCTGAGTGTGTTTGTGTGTGTGTGTGTGTTTGTGTATGTATGTGTGTGCGTGCGTGTATGTGCGAGCATGCAAATGTCTGTGTGTTTGTGTTTGTCTGTGTTATTTTGTGTGTTTGGGTGTACGTGTGTTTGAACATGCTAGCATGTGTGTATCTTTATCTGTTGTTTTGTTTTTTGTGTGTGTTTGGTATGTGTATGTTTGTGTATATGTGTGTATGTATCTGTATGTGTGTTTTTGTGTGTGTGCTGTGTGTGCGCACGCGCCTGTGTGAGTGTTTATGTGCATACGTGCGTGCAAAATATGTGTTTTAATGGTGTGTGTGTGTGTGTGTGTGTGTGTGTGTGTGTGTGTGTGTGTGTGTGTGTGTGTGTGTGTGTGCGTGTGTGTGCGTGTGTGTGTGTGTGCGTGTGCGTGTGCGTGTGTGTGTGTGTGTGAGCATGTCAGCGTGTGCGTATGTGCATGTATGTACGTACTGTGCTTGTTTGTGCGTGTGTGCGCATTTGCGCTTGCATACTCAGGCTCTTCTGATGCTGGCAGCATGCTACTATGGCAGCATTCATTGTGTCCAGTTTTTACTGTGGTGTGATCCGTCGCTCTTGCACGACAAAGTTATGGTCAATCTCTATAATGTGCCACGACAGGTGAGTACTGGTCAAAGTGCTCGGCGTGAAACTGTGTGTTCTGATCACTGGTTTATTTATTCTGATAAACTGAGCACGTGCTCATACAGCGTCACTTTGCTGTCAAAGATGTTCCTAGAAAATTGAATGTTCCTCTCTTTGTAAATGTGGTGAACATTGCGCCTCAAAGCCATAATAGAGTAAAACCTGTAACTAAAGACCGGCACCGTGACTAACAGCCAGCCTGCTGCTACACACCACTTCGCCAGGCACGGACGGTCTCATATACAAAAATGCACTGTGATAAGCGACTACCTGCTGAACGCATCCAGCGGCCGCCTTTTCTTGTCCCAAAGTCGATTTTTGACATGTAACTAGCGACAGCAGTGCAGGAAATCAAAGGTTGTTCGAAGCTGTTTCTTCGAAATTTTGATGATTTTCTGTCCTGAGTGGACTCTTTCGATACTACAGCTGCACGAATTAACGCAATCTCATTTTGACTATGGGCAGAACTGCACATGGCATAGTTTCAAGTGCTCTCATGAGCAAACATGAAAGGAAATGTCTTGAAGAGCACCTGCTCGAACCTGGTCCATGATCGATGCTACTTCTCAAAGGAGAAATAGCATTGCGCAAGTGGTGGGATATTGTATTAGCTACATTTTGACATACATATCAGAGATGTGATCCATATAGGGTCGCGCGAGGCAAACTTCTAACTAAAGACCACCTGCCACTAAAGACCGTTTCTTCTTGCTCCAAGGGGTGGTCCTTAGTTACAGGTTTACTGTCTACACGGTATACTTTAGTAGAGCTACAACATAACCACTGGCCAGTGGGTATACTTTAGTAGAGCTACAACATAACCACTGGCCAGTGGGTATACTTTAGTAGAGCTACAACATAACCACTGGCCAGTGGGTATACTTTAGTAGAGCTACAACATAACCACTGGCCAGTGGGTATACTTTAGTAGAGCTACAACATAACCACTGGCCAGTGGGTATACTTTAGTAGAGCTACAACATAACCACTGGCCAGTGGGTATACTTTAGTAGAGCTACAACATAACCACTGGCCAGTGGGTATACTTTAGTAGAGCTACAACATAACCACTGGCCAGTGGGTATACTTTAGTAGAGGTACAACATAACCACTGGCCAGTGGGTATACTTTAGTAGAGGTACAAGATAACCACTGGCCAGTGGGTATACTTTAGTAGAGGTACAAGATAACCACTGACCAGTGGGTATACTTGAGTAGAGCTACAACATAACCACTGGCCAGTGGGTATACTTTAGTAGAGCTACAACATAACCACTGGCCAGTGGGTATACTTTAGTAGAGCTACAACATAACCACTGGCCAGTGGGTATACTTTAGTAGAGCTACAACATAACCACTGGCCAGTGGGTATACTTTAGTAGAGCTACAACATAACCACTGGCCAGTGGGTATACTTTAGTAGAGCTACAACATAACCACTGGCCAGTGGGTATACTTTAGTAGAGGTACAACATAACCACTGGCCAGTGGGTATACTTTAGTAGAGCTACAACATAACCACTGGCCAGTGGGTATACTTTAGTAGAGCTACAACATAACCACTGGCCAGTGGGTATACTTTAGTAGAGCTACAACATAACCACTGGCCAGTGGGTATACTTTAGTAGAGGTACAACATAACCACTGGCCAGTGGGTATACTTTAGTAGAGCTACAACATAACCACTGGCCAGTGGGTATACTTTAGTAGAGCTACAACATAACCACTGGCCAGTGGGTATACTTTAGTAGAGCTACAACATAACCACTGGCCAGTGGGTATACTTTAGTAGAGCTACAACATAACCACTGGCCAGTGGGTATACTTTAGTAGAGCTACAACATAACCACTGGCCAGTGGGTATACTTTAGTAGAGCTACAACATAACCACTGGCCAGTGGGTATACTTTAGTAGAGCTACAACATAACCACTGGCCAGTGGGTATACTTTAGTAGAGCTACAACATAACCACTGACCAGTGGGTATACTTTAGTAGAGCTACAACATAACCACTGGTCAGTGGGTATACTTTAGTAGAGCTACAAGATAACCACTGGCCAGTGGGTATACTTTAGTAGAGGTACAACATAACCACTGGCCAGTGGGTATACTTAAGTAGAGCTACAACATAACCACTGGCCAGTGGGTATACTTTAGTAGAGCTACAACATAACCACTGGCCAGTGGGTATACTTTAGTAGAGCTACAACATAACCACTGGCCGTGGGTATACTTTAGTAGAGCTACAACATAACCACTGGCCAGTGGGTATACTTTAGTAGAGGTACAACATAACCACTGGCCAGTGGGTATACTTTAGTAGAGGTGAACGGTAAGGGAAAAGGTACTGTAGTTCCTCCAAGGGTACACAACCCCCAAGAGTGTGCTACTGCAGTTTTGTTGTAACACGTTATGAGATGGCAGGATTTCACATCACATGACGAGCTTGCACACAGTATGTTCACACTGTGCATGATAGAAAGAGGGTTGAATGCAACCCTGTTTTGGATTCAACTCTCCTGTGGTCACTTTGCACTGCTTGCCAGCGTAACTTTTTGAATCACGTGTGATGTGAAGTTCTGGCGTAGCAGCACTCGATAAAGGTTGTGTGGGCAGTTGCACACTCTTGGGGTTATGTACTCTTTGTATCACTAATCTGCGGTTATGAGTTCTGCACATGGGGACCACTGGTCCAAGTGTTTTTTTGTGGATTTCATGTCAAGTTCCAGCCAGTAACGTTATTTACTATGTCCCTGTCCTCTACCACACACACACTAAGATGAGATATGCTCTGTTTTTGGAAACAAGTTATTTGCACTTTGATTACATGTGTATGGTACTATGCTACAATAGAAAGGAAAAATCTGGAACTTGTATGCTTTGCAGGCGATTCTAAGAATGTGTATGTGTATGTTTGTTTGTTTGTTGCTATGGTGACCCAATAGTACTGCCGCCCAGTATCACTTCTACATGTCTGCGCGTTCCGTGGACATACAGCACTGTGTGGGCTGCTGATAACAAATGGTGTCGATGTTAATGTCCGAGATAAGGTGAGCTTTGGAGGTGGAATGCACCAATCAAATGCGCTTTGCAACAAACTCTTGTGACATCAAGTATTTGTCAAAGACACAAAACCCAAAAAAATGTCCTCATGTGCTGAATATTGATGTGCGGATGTGTACATAGTGCACGGCATCATGTATGCCAGGGCCGTAGCTACCATATATTTGACAGGTCCGGAGGGACATTTTTTACCTTAAAATGATTATGACCGAGTCAAGTTACTACAATGTACCAGTACATGTAGTGCACCTCTACAGGTTATACAATTACATCGTCAGTTGAAATACTTTTGGCGAAGTCACAGATTCGTGAGTGATCGTGGCACAGCGCCGCATATTGTACATATTCGAAAATCTGCTGATTTGCGCTCGTATACTAGTGTGTCCATTCGAAAATCTCTATGAAATTATTTGTATAACCCCTTGATGTATGCGAATTCTCATACTTTGGAGAAAGATGATTGATACGGCTTTATGTGGATTGATACAACGTCTTCAGGCTGTGAAGTCCACTGAATGACCTCTCCGATGTGGCGTTCGTGGCTGGAAGAATAAGCAGTAGGTGAAACAACCAGCAGGCAGGCAATGACTTGTACATCTGGTGCAAAGTGAGCAGCTCAGCTCCTTACAACTGACAGCCTGTTTGGGCGCGTTCCTGTCACTCGAGTTGAACCCCCTTTGAAACCTTGAGTTGAACCTTGGTGTAAAAATGTTGTAGCCTGCAGGCACGATGACCAGGTGACTGGTGTACGCACAAGCACGTGACCACTTACTCACCCGTGTTTGATTGGGGAATAAGGGCCAAACGCTGCATCGCAGCCTCCTTGGAACAATACTTATCGACTCAGTATCCAAAAGACTACAACATATGGGCCAATAGCTTTCATCCGTGCTTTCATAAGAACAAAATGGCGCTTTTAGTGACATTGTGCATACAAATCCCCCTCTATGAAATAGTGGTTGCGACTTCGGCGATGATTGTTTAGGAAATGGATTGCTCCCACACCGGAGTCAAGTGTCAAGTCAAGTTGGCGGAATAGTGCATGCTCCAGTGTGGGGGCAAACCCTTTCCTAAATCCTCCTCGGATAGGGTCACCCAGTTTCGGTGGAAGAGCGGGATTTCGATTGGGGATAAAGGAGGAAGGGAGCGTCTCAAATTCCTCGAACCAAGACCATTCGTCTCAGCATCCTGAAGACAGAAAGATGGTATAATTAGGTATAAATGGTTCAAGTAACGTGTCATGTTTGGTGTGGCCAACCTTGGCCGGTAGTGTTTTTATTTAATTAATTAATTTATTTATTTTTCACTGACTGCCACATAACCATCAGATGCTGCAAAGCAGGGTGGTGGCATATTGGATGGAAGTGGAGGCGGGGCAAAAGTAACTCCTCCGATCAAAGGTCTCGGACTCATCGTTACTCATGTGAGCCGATACGTAGGAGAAAAGAACATGTGCTTCCAAGGGGGAAGCACCTTTGCAAACGATAATGGGGAGAATTTCAGATTGAGACAAGACATAACACAATAGTAAAAACAGTGCACCATGGGTTAGGAAGATGGAGAGAACTTATATTCGTATATGGTACCATGACTGGGAGACACAAGCTAAGTTTAAGGCTGAGCGAAGGGGATCAGAGAGGATAGAAGGGAGCTGGAATTCTGGTGAAATGCACCGCTGTTTGTGTTATTACTTTGTCCTTCGTTCTTCCTCTTCTTTTTTCATTAGCACATGCATTCGTGATTTCTCTTGGTTTCGTTATTAAAATTCACACTTGTGTTTATCACTCCTGTTGGTATTGGTGTTGTTTTACGTAAGTTGTCTATAATGTGTAAAATGGGGGTTTGTCAACTTATTAATGATGTTGAAAATATTATTGACGTTTCGGGCCAGTCACCCATCGTCAGAAAATGGTTCTGATGATGGGTGACGGGCCCGAGACGTCAATAAGGTTTTCGACATCAGGAAGAAAAGAATTTTCATTCAGCGCATACGCGGAGTGAATAGCAACTGAATACAGTGGTAGTTAGTTGACAAACCCCCCTTTTTACTGACAATGCAGTTGCGTGATGTCCACCACTTTCTGAGTTTCTATAACATAAGGAAATAATTGGAGGCGCATCCAATTTCGAAAGAAAAGTTTTCAGCGCCGGCGCAATCCACACAGTTAAGTAAAGCCAATTTAGTACCCGAACGTTTTCGTTCCCTTCTCATCATGGCTTAGTAGAGGCAATAATGTAAACATGTTTTTTTTTCTATAACCGTTCAATTTTGTTTCATTGACAACGACAGTTCCTGATGGGTGTTGTACGAAAATTTGTTTGAATCCAAATTTTCCTCTACACTATTTCTTCCTACTTCCATCGTTTTATTGGACATTGTCTCCACTGTTTTACATTGTGTGAATTAAGTATACAGAAATGTCGATTCAATGTAAAATTTGAAACTCGGATGTTGAGCCAATAATAAATGTAGAAAGGAAAAGGACATATAGATACGAGTTGAGTGTAACTCTCCATCACTCTAACCAGATACTATATACAGTCAAAAAGTGCAACAACTAGGCACAAAACTGACAGAGTACTGAGACATTCGACGTCCTTACACCTAGCTTCAACACATCTCCGTAGCGCTAACCGACAGCCTTCCAACTTGGAAGGTTATCTGGTTAGAGTGATGGAGAGTTACTCTCAACTCGTATCTATAACTATTTCCTTTTCCTTTCTACATCAATGTAAAATAGAAGAAGAAGAAAACACATGGGAACGAATTATGAAGCACTTTTCCACGACTGTGCCAAGATCATAAACAGTTATAACATGCAATAACAGGGAACAAAACTCACAGACTACTGAGACATTCAACGACCTAAGACTTAGCTCTAACACATCTCCAGTGTGCAAAGCAGGATCCAACTCGGAAGGTTTGAGGTTGCTTAGGACCAAAGAGGAAAAGATGAGCGCAGCGGAAATGTGCACAACCTAAGTCCCACGCAACAAAGAATGCCGACTGTTACAAGACGATCACGAGACCAGTTAATAACATGACAATGCGGTCTAACTACAATTCGAAGCAGCAAAGCCACCCATCACCCAACTTGGGTGGGTCAGCAATATCAGAGATACAGGAAGAGTCTTTGGGAAAACGAATTGTACAAAACCTGGCGCCAATATCTAACGGTACTCCTCATGCTTGACACTATTGGGGAGGAGTTGATTACGATAACCAAACCATTTGTAGCTACTGCGAGCCTGGTTGCGGCATTCAACGCAGTGAAGCAGCCAGTCGCTTCATTTCTGCAGACACGTCCGCCCATTTCCAGATGTCAGTACGGCTGTCAGATGCGATGCTTCACCTCAAGATTTGGGCGCTATTCTCAGGCAGCACTGCGGCAAGGGCCAGTGGGTGCCGGTCACTTGCGCCAGCCGATCATTGACTGATGGGGAGATATGCTATTCGCAGATGGAGCGTGACATGTTGAGTGTGGTATTCGCTTTACCTCGCTTCTGCCAGTACGTTTTGGGCCGGGATGAGGACGTCTTCATGTATCACAGACCACTCCTCCATATAGTTCAGAAAACATTTGATGACGTTCAACCATGTCTCCAGCATTGGTTATTACCTCTGATGCGGTATTCGTACGAACTCAAGCGTATCCCAGGAAAGCAACTGTTGTGCGTTGACGCTTTGTCTCGTGCTCCGCTGAAAACCACTGTCTTGTCTCCAGCTGAGTCCCGCTCATTGCATGAGTACGTCAACATGGTTCTTGAGGCAACATCAGTCAACCTTGAGGAAATCCGCCGTTCTACTCAACACGACGCAACACTCCACAGTTCCCTGCAGCATATGCTCACCTCGTCCTCGCAAGGTGCCTCACGTGCTGAGCAGCCGTCAGAGATCAACTCACAGAAGCTGACGGTGTGTTGCTATTGTCGGCATGTGTTGTGATACCAGACGGGCTATGCAATACCATCATGGCTTTAGTGCATGAGAGACACCCGGGCCAGGAAGCCTTTCAACATTCCCTCCGGCAGAGAGTTTGGTGGCCAGGGCTCACCAGGGACGCTTGACTGTATGTGGAATGTTGCTTCGAGTGTTGGCGACGTCGCGCAAACAGTCCACATGATCTTCTCCCCACTGAGGCGTGTGGGAGAAGCTGGTGATCAACCTGGCATCTATTGGTATCTTTTGAGGGCCACTTCATTCTCTTCCCCTGGTTGAATATGGCTCCCGGTGCTCTATTCTCAAGGTACTGTCCTCTACAACGACTACAGCTATCGTGGACGAGCTAGATGAAGTGTTTGGCCAATTCGGTCTATTTTCTGTACTGGTTCAGATAATGGGCCGCAGTTTGTATCGGAGCAGATGGCCACTTTCTTGCAGCATCTCGGCATTTGTCACATCCGCTCAAGCCCACGGTATCTCCATTCCAATGGCATGGTGGAACAACTCCATTGTCTCGTCAAGGAACGATTGGCGGCACTCAAGCCTCATTTATCTTTATGTCGACGACTGAACCAGGTTCTGTTCGACATCTGCCACTCTCAACATCGAGGAGTGAAAGCCTTGTCAGATCTACAGGCGGTCAACTGGGTGATACTCCATGACGGATACAATGATCCAGCCAAGCTGTGGACGGTGGTGGAGCAGTACGAGAGGACAGTGGAAGTAGCCGATGGTGTCCCGATTCTGCTTCGTAACCGCCAGCATGTCAGAGAATTGGTCTCACCTGCTGCTGCATCGTCTGAATAGCCTGAGTTTGTTGCCTCAGTACCACCGCTATCCACGCCCTCCATTAGGGTTCCGAGACCGACTACCCCATGCGCACCACAATCAGCTACAGGTAGCGAGCCACTTATGCCAGCCTCAATGGAAGCTGAGGCCCCTCTCACCTGTACTGCACCTGCTGACGCCTCTCTCGCGTGTTCTCCCCCTTGTCTAGTTTCTTTTAGCGATGTCTGCAGGAATGAGACCAGTCCACCAGCCATT